CGGCCGGCACGCCCAGCGCCGCTGCCAGGCGGCAGACAAACGGCGCGGGGGGGAGGGGCAGGGGGCCGACCAGTGATGCCGCGCCGTCTCGCGCCGCCATGGCCGCCTCCAGCGCCGCCTGCACGCCGCGACGCAGCATCGCGTCGCGTCCGTTTGCCGTGGCCGGGTGGACTACCAGGTCTGGGCCGGCCTCCTGTGGAGGACAGGGAGGAGAGGGACGGGCTTGGGGTGTCTGGCAGGCGGGGCGCTCGGGTTTGGAGGAGGGGGGCCGGTGCGAGGCGGTGGGGAACCCAGTTGGGACGATGGCCCCCAACGTCAAGATACCGTGGCCCTCATCTGCCTCAAATCCGACTCCCCACCTGGTTGAGCGCGGCCAGCCTGCCGAGGCCCTCCAGGGAGTAGTCCTCGCCCTGCAGTACCTTGTCGTCCTCCAGCCGGCGCAAGAGCTGACGGGCCTCCGTTTCCAGCTCGGCCCTCTGCGTTGCCGGGAGCTGTGCGCCGCCGGTCCGACCGTCGTGCTCCACCCACCATGAGGGCGGGGCGGGCGGAGCAGAGGCGGTCTCCTGAGACCTGCCGGAAGGGATGGAACTTGTGCTCGGCGCAGCAGAAGACCCCACACCGTCCTCAAAGTCCCAGAGGGGGCGTTTGGCAGCAGGGAGCGTCGACTCTGGGTCAGGGATGAACACCTGTGCAGAAGGGGGCATAGGGTGGGGGGAAAGGTGCTCTGCAGCGATGGGTGGCCATGAACCTGGAGGGACGCAAGGTCTGGGCAGGGGCAGCAGACTAGGAAGGGGCCCAGTGAATGGCCATTGAGTAATTGAGCCCGGTCGACCATGGCAATGCCGGACAAGTGTGGGAGATTCCCAGCCGCGACGTCCTATGCCAATACTTCTCTCAGCGAGACCGTCCCCATCACCCTTTCTCCACCCAACCCCCTGCCAGCTCACCATCTTGCCCCCGAGGGAACGGTCCCTGACCCAGCGCCCTCCGTGCTGTCTTCGGCCTCCCCTGCCAATCCAACCCAGCCTGTCCTGGAACTTGATCCCCAGGGCTACCAGGGCGGCGGCTCCCAGGGCCGTCCACCCTAGCCAGTTGAAGGAGGGCTGATAGCCGGACTGGTACGGCGATGGCCGAGGACCAGACACTACATACTGCTTGAAAACAGTGGAAAGGGAGAATGGGGTTGGGAAGCCTGCGCCAGTCAGGACTTGAAACAGTTCACATGTATTGAGGGCAGTGTTCCACTCCACCCGCCCCTGGGCCCACCCCTCTTGATGCATTGGGCGAAGCCACCCTATGCCAGGCTCTGGACAGGCCCTCGCTCAGATTGGCTGCCGAGCCGGTCCAGGACGACGCCTGGGCCTGGGCTGTCGTAGAGCGCGTCGCCGGCTGCTCTGTGGCGATGTCAGTCTGTACCGAAGGATTGAGTGTTTGCAGCTTCACTACTCTGTCGATCAATTGATTTGGTTGGCAGGCGTACGAGCTGTGGCATGCATTGTCAGGTATAGAACTGGGGCGACGTGCACTTTGCACAAGCTCAGCCCCTGCAAACCAATCCTGACGCGGGCGCACTCTGGCAACGGAGGGGTCCTGGAGGTTCACGAGGTGTCTGCGAGGCCTCCAGCCATCCGCAAGCGAGGGACGAGCTTGCAAGAGGATGGCAGCCGCGATGGAGGTGCCCAAAAGCGCCTGGCTTATCGGCTTACTTGCTTGGCTCTGCGCAGAGCGGCATTCGACATCTGATGGGGGTGCCGAGGGGCCAGCGGGAGGGGACGCAGCTCTAGTGAGAATGTAACTGGATCTCCAACCTCCGCTGTGGAAGGGGAGCGTGCAAAAGGGTGGGCTCGAATAGCCGTGCTTGTGGCCCACCGCGCCCAACATGGCGCGTGGCTGTGCACCGCAATGTGCCGAGCGACTCGGAAGTGGATTTCAATACGAATTTCGTTCTGCGAGTTTCATACGCGATGCAGAATGGATTCCTTCTCCTCATTATCGTGTGCATTGCTCAGAATATGATTCCGTTCTTTCTTTCACATGGACCACCTGGAGGGCTCGAAGGGAGGTAGATATTGGGCGAAGATCCTCACGCCCGCTATCTGGCACACAAATCTGGTTCTTCGGACTGCGATAGCCTATTCGAGCAACACGCAGAGCAAACAAACCAGCCTCATCATGTCTTTTACCAGTTTACAGTCCGTCGGGAATATTGGTGGAGCGCAGGGCACCCTGCTTCCCCGTTCCTTCTCCCGGGCCCTCCCCTCCCCCCGGCGCACGTCGCGCGTTGAGGCGGCCAGTGCGAGCCAGGCGAGCACCGATGAGGCCATGGGCTTCAGATACGATGCCAGTATGCAGGTGAGTGGTTGAGTGGTGACCCCGCGCCGGGCCGGGGGTCGGACCCCGCATCTCATCTGCTGACGAGGCCCAGCTTCCCACCCCGCCCCCCCGGCCACACACTCCCCGCAGCGCTGGGTCAAGGACGCGCGGTACACCGGGGCGAAGTACAACACCCTAATCACCCCCAAGAGCGGGACCCCCTACACCATCTGGCCCGTGATGCACACCGAGCTGGTGCGGCGCAAGGTGCGGTGCGTGGAGCCGGAGGAGGCACACAATGCCGTGTCCAGCGGCAAGGCCGTGCTCCTGGACGTGCGGCTGCCCAAGCAGTTTGAGAAGGGGCACGCGGACGGGGCGGTGAACATCCCGCTGTACCGCATCACCGCGGGCAATAAGCTGTGGGACAAGATCAAGCGCATCGTCATGGGCGGCATGGTAATGGACGCCACGGGTGAGTGATGTGCGGGGGGGTGGGCTGTCTGGCACAGGCTCCCTGTGGGGTCATTAGGTCGGGGGGAGGCTTGCATGCCCCTCAGTCTCCAGAACTGTGGGTTGCCTCCTTGTCGGTCTCCGGCTCAGAGACCAACCGTCCCCCTCCCTCCCCCCCAAACAGAGCGCGACCCCGACTTCTCCGACAAGGTGGTGGCGGCGCTGGGGCGCAACGCGCACCGCACGCGGGTCATTGTGGTCTGCGGCGTGGGCGGCACGCTGGAGACGGCGGTCACCGTGGCGTCCACGGGGAAGGTGGCGCACAACGACCCCGACCGCGCGTTTGGGCGGGAGTCGCGCGCGCTGAAGGCCTGCTATGAGCTGCTAAAGGCCAAGTTCTCCAAGGTGGAGTTCCTCAAGGGCGGCCATGGCAGCTGGCGGCACGGCGGCTTCCCCATGGACTACGGGCACGCGGACGAGGAGTAGAGGCCCGCAGCCTTGGCCCCCCTCCTTTTTAATAAACCCATGATATTGACGACTTTCAGGACGTCCCCAGGAGGGGTTTTCAGAACAATCTCCCTCCCCCCAATTTTCTGATGATTTTCCCAAGTGTTTCCGAGGAGATCGATCGATGTCAGTCATGTCATGCCAATGCTGTATTCTTATATTGTAAACCTTTGCCGAAGCGGATGACTGAAGACTATCACGAACAGGGCTTACAGCAGTGCCAGACCACCATGGGCCCCGGGTTTGGGCGGTGTTCGTCCAGCAGATGTGGCAGAGTGCATCCCCTCCGACCCCTTTCCCGGCCGGGCAGCCACCCCGGTCAGGTCAGGTCTGGGGGATGCTCTGCTGCGCAGCATGGTGCTTGAGGTCGCGCATGTGGTAGGCGGTACGCGCCCGCATGTACTGCTCCGCCCACGCCTCCACGCTCATATGCCCGCCAGAGACCCCTGCCACCAGGACATCCGACGCCGCCTCTGCCTCCTTAGCCGAGGCGGCGAGCCGCTCCAATAGCACCTGAAGAATGAGGGCGAGGTTGGTGGTGTGCATGGGTGTTTGTGGGGGGCAGTGACACCCCTCGCCTTTGCACGCAGGGCAGGGATCCAGGGTAACCTTGCTCCCCAGCGTGTGCACCCCGGATGAGAACATGCGGGACGATGCACGGCAGGCCCACTCCACACGGCCGCTCCGCTCACACATCTGTGCGAACCCCCCTACAAGAAAAACAAAACCCACCCCCCTACAAGAAAAACAAAACCTATGCCGCACCCGGGGAGCCAGCTTGTCCAGGACGGCCTTCTGGCGGGCGTGCAGGTCCCGGAACGCGGTCTCCGCGGGCTGGTACTCACTGGACTGGATGATGGCGATCTGGTTGGCGCAGTCCGCCATCTCGTCGCCGCGGGCGATGTTGCCCTCCGCCAGCTCCCTCGCCTGCTGCCAGGCCGCCTCCACGGGCTGCGGGGGATGGGACTTTCGGCTGTGATGATCGCAGGGCAAGGGGCCCACCAGGCTGGCATGCGGGCTGGGCAGGAGGTTGGCATACACCAGGGTAAATCACGGACATGGACCGGGGAGGCCGGTGGGAGGAGAGACCCATGTAGTGTAGCGAGGAGGCTGCCAGGTCAGCCCTACTCCACCGAGCCCACACCATGTGCTGTACCAGTGCAGCACCCCATCCCCTCCTGGATCTTTATAGGAAGCAGCATCCTCCCACTTGCCTGCTCCAGGTGGAGCTCGGCCGCCACCCGGCGCTCCAGCTCCTCAAACTTGCTGGGCTGGGTCAGGGCCTCCAGCAACTGCTCGTTGGACAGCGAGTCCAGCAGCGGGAAGGAGCGCGGGAGGTCGGGGAGGGTGGGGGAGATGGGGTTGGGAGTGGCGGGCACGGCGTAGGTGGTGTGGGCGCTGGGGGAGGCCCGCGCCTTGGCAGCCAGCTCAGCCACGACTTGTTGCACGACGGCGGCCAGGCGCGCCCCGCCCCTGCCCCAGGACGCGAGGGAGGGGGGCTCCAGCTTGCCGTCGGGGTTGATCCAGGGGTGCTGCAGCGCTGGCGTGGCGCTCAGGGAGGGCGGGTCCTGGGGGAAGGTGGGGGGAAGGGAGGCCCGCACCGAGGCAGGAGTCCCATCCTGGAGGGTGAAGGCCACCTCCAACAGCGATCTGGGGGCATGGGGAATGTGTGTGGAGGTACAAGGTCGCGGATGGGATGACATCTGAATGTGCATGGCGCCGAGGGATGCCCCATGAACACATGACGAGGCGGGGTGTCGTCAGCGCCGAGTGTCACCTGTCGGGGTTCAGCGCTCGACTGCCGGCCTGGGCGACGAGAGTCTCATTGATCTGTTGTGAACGACTGTGGGCACGGGAGGAAAGGGATCGGTGGACGGCAGGAAGACGAGGGGGCCAACGGACTGTAGCACCAGCACGAAACCCCCGGCCTCACTCGAACTGTTGATCGAAGGACTGCTGTAACAGGGAGTACTGCATGATGGTTTATACTGTTATACTTGGGGGAGAATGGCAATGACACAGGATCAAGACGGTCTAGTCTCTGATGAACACGCTCGGTCACTGTTTACAGAGGGCGGAACCCAGCGCCCAATGGTAATCACTGTCGAGGGAAAACTCCTCCGTCCCCTCCTCATCCCAACTTGTACATGATCACCACGGCCCACACTCCGTAAGAACGCTGTCACGACCCTCTTTCCACCCTGTCTTGTATCCAGAGGTCACCTGTGGAGGGCGGGAGTGGACTGAAGTAGCAGGCACTGTGTCATGTTGGCTCCGATTCATCATCATAAAGACAACAAAGCAACATCTCCAACTTCCAAACCACTCACACAGCCCTGTCATGATGCTACATCGAAGCTGGCCATCGCTGTTCTTTGTATCACGTTCTGATGTTCTGGGGTCAAAGGTATGTCGTCATTGGCTGCTCTCATTGTGTGCCACCCTGGCGCCCAATGATCGGCTGTTGCTGCCAAGAAATGCGAGCCCGTCTAGGACCGGTCCTTTGATTCAGTGCACTCCACCGCGCCTCAGCATCTGCTTTGGTGTGTGGTGTGTGGTGTGGGTTGAACGACGAGATGCATGGCACAGGCAACCATGTGTGTAGTAGGCAACTTATGTACCAAGTACAGATTCTCTCCTCTACAATAAAAGCCCCCACAAACTCACCTGCGGGCTTCATGCCATGCCTCAGGACATCTTCAACCACAGACGCAGGCAGTTCGAGGAGGGGGAGAATTTCTGTCTGGCCAGGACGGCTGAAGAGCTGGGGCAGGGGTCCGTGCTCCATGTCAATTGGACAGAATGGGGCTGCCACAACAGCTGGGTCGTCGGGGATCTGACCCAGGGTCGCATTGTATCTGCTTGCAGAAAGGGAGTGGGTGGGAAGGATCACACGAGAGCAGGTCCAAGCGGCTGAGACGCACTCCTGTTGTCCATGGGTGCTGGCTTCAATATCTGATGTGATGCAGGGGTGAGATGAACATATTTGCGGGTGCCTAAACGGACCCATACTGCACTTCGACCGGGAAGCAGCAGGCGCAGCAGCAACCCACCCACGCACGCTTCATAGCCGAGGATGAGGCAGAGCACTGTGACGCAGCACCAGGCAGGGATGGCTAGGGCCCAGTAGGTGGTGGGAAAGTACGTCACACCGATGCGTGCAAGGAGATGCGGGGGTGTGTAGGCCCACACCAGGTATAGCACTGCAGATAATCGAGAGCGTGTGGGGTGGATAGGTCGCGTTCATGCGGGGTGGGAGCAGGAATGCAGGAGGACAGTCACCCCAGGACCCACCGTAGGCCACGAAGGAGGATATCCAGCCCACGAAGCCGTACACTTCCACCGAGGAGACACCCCGTGTGCCTTCTTCTCCTATCGACATTCTGTTTTGGATTGCTGATCGTCGGTGCGGGTGCCTGATCACACAGGTGCTCGACGTGTGCAGGAGTGGAAGTCGATCTCTGCATCGCGCGCTGAACCCATTCGATTGCGCCCAAGGTTGTCGCCCATACTTGCGAGAAGCAATCAAGATGGAACATACAAATCGAACCGAACAATATTTCTTACGCATCCCAACTCGGCATTGTCCACCGTGATCACAGAGCTGTGGCTCTGAGAAGGACGACCGATTGTCAGTCTCCCATCCCTGTCAGCAGGCCCCTCCATGCATCACCGAGCCTGAGTTCAGCAGGCCTTCGTTCCGCAGGACAAGGGAGCAGATCCAGCGTCCATGTCGCAGGCACACCTGCGGAACGTAGAGGAGCCGATGTGAGGGGGTTGGCCTGGTATCCCAGCCATGACCTCGCCATTTCCTGCCCCCCCCAAAAGGAGCGCTCACCACAATCACCGTGCCCCACAGATTCATCGGCTACGTCCCTGGCGACCCCACGCTGCCACCCCTGGACGACGCCATCCCGGCCCCGAACCCCGCCTTTGCGCAGAACAAGGTGGTGGACCTGAGGACTTGGGATGCGGTGGCCCTGCAGGTCGAGGCCGATCGTTTCAACCCCTCGGACCCCTTCGAGCCCTTCCACCTGCCCGCAATGCCTGGCGTGCCCACCGAGAAGGTGGCCACCTTCACCGGGCACGACCCCTCTGACTACCTGGGCGCCCAGGCCGGGCCCGGGCGGGGCAGGGGCCCCTCGCGACCCCGGGCACGGTCCACGCTGTCGGACGAGCAGATCCTGGAGGTCATGCGCCGGACCCTGCCCCACCCAGGCAGGCCCATCGCCTGGGTGGACCTGGGGTACCGCAACGGAGGCCTGACGCTGGCTGGAAAGGAGGTGCAGCTGCGGGACCTGTGGGACATGGTTCAGGGCGCGGGCGGGTTTGCGGCCGTGTGCTCCACCCGGAAGTGGACGAGCGTTGCCATAGCGCTGGGCGCTGACACCTCAAGGCTCACCAACGGTGGGTGGCTGGGAGGAGTCAGGAGTAGGACTTTTCATTCATATTTGCAGGGTGGTGGGAGACCTCGTGTGGGCATGCGGGCGCTGCTGTTGGGCGCGCCAGGCTGAGGGTGGTGGAACAAAGCATCTCCAGCGACAAGTCATGGAGGCTAGGTGGAATAGTATCTCCACCTGTGCTGCTCCTCCACCCTTTTCACAGCCTCCCATGTGGTCAAGGGCTGGTACCTGCGATTCTTTGCGAATTATGAGAAGTCACTGCAGAGCCAAGAACTTCCATCCTGAGCATACTTCTTTGGAAGTGAATCTGTTGTGCCCCAGTGCGTCAACGCATGTGTGCAGGTTCCAGGGACCAGTACGCGCTTCGTCTCACGATCCACCGAGCATTGACCAGACGAACCCTTGAATCTCAGCTATGTATTGTCCCAACCCCGTTGCAAGCATGCAGCAAATCAGATCTGGACATGAATTGCGCCTGTTCGGATGGTAGACATGTCTGTTCCAGTTTCAATGTTCCGAATCCCTCCCAGAGATCGCGCCCAGAAGATTTCCGCTGGTGTGTCGCACATGATCTTGCGTTTGTAAAGGGCCATAGGCATCGGGATGGAGTCAAAGCTGCCCTCGACAACTACAACGGATGCAGGCTAGCTTCTATTGAGTCTCAGATCAGTCGAAACGCTCTTGGGCCTCAACCTCACATGGCCGACGAGGCTCTGTCCTTGGTCTGCACCGACTGCAATGCCCAGCTCCAATCCGTGAAGGAAGCCCAAGCCCACGGTGAGTGGTGTTTTGCAATGTCGATTCTCCATCCCTGATCGAGTATGTTCTGCCCGTGTTGGTTCCACTTCCAAAGGCTTGCGTCAGTGGTCCCCTACAGGCGAAGCCACAGGGCACTCAAACTTCGAGGAGAGCACCGAAGCGGTGAGATGGAATGAAGGCTGCACGAGAAATTAACCGATCGTGCGGTAGGATTGTCGTGGTGTGACGCCTGGCTCCCCTCCTGTATCCCCCAGGTCAAGCGCCTGGTCTGCACTGAGTGCAGCAAGCCATGCCGCACCATAGTTGAGCAGGAGCTGCACACAAAGCGAACAGGGCACACCACGTTTGAAGATCAGGTGTGTGGAATCCGTTGGGTGCTGAGAATGGCCATTCCTGGTGTTAAGCGACATGGGGGGGTGTATTCTTGACTGCCATGGGTGCGGCTGTGTATAGGTGGGCCCTTGCGGAAGAGCATGAGGGCGGTCCCTGGTCTCGCTTGCAGACCCGCGCTGCTGCCAAGGCCATGAGCACGGAGATGGAGATGGCAAAGGCGAGGGCGGTGGAGGCAGGGGAAGGGACTGACAAGAAAGATGTTGAGCTTGTAAGTCAATTCTGGGTGAATGGACGGGCATCTGGGTCTCTTGGATTACATTCATCATGGCGTGCTGTGCTTTCCTACCGCAGTGCAACTGCAGGCTCTGATTGCCAGGATGAATACGCCCATGTCCCATTCCACCCCGCCTTCTCAATGGCGTAGCTGTCTCGTTGCTGATACAGTGCACCCGGCCCCACTGCTTTTCTTCCCACCAGGTGGAGCCTGAGGTGGATGGCCAAGCACTGGCAGAATTGGAGGCCATGGGCTTTGCCAGGAACAGGTGTGGTGTGGACGTCAGGTGCTGTTGCGATGCATACAGCAAGTCGATCCCTGGACCTGAAAACAGTCTCAGGGCAGGAGCGTTGATGCGCCGCGGCGCCGTTTATGAACTCTTGTCCATTCCTGGCTTGGGATCAAGACCCAGACCCCTTGATCCCGGGCGCCTCCATCCCCTCTTGCCAGGGGGGTACGCGCATTGCATGGGAGTGGCAATACCGGGGTAGAAAGCGCGGTGGCCTGGCTCGCTGATCACGAGGATGATGCAGACCTGGACAGTCCTCTCCTCCTGCCCAAGGCAAGATTGCCTGGCTCTCTAGCCCCTGGGGAAGAAGCTGAGAAAGTCGGCCATACTCGGTCAAATGTGTGGAGGAGCAAGGGCTTATGGGCTAAATCCATCTGTATCATGCTTCCGCCCACCCCTGCATTACACCAAGCAGGAGACACCCAAGCCCAGCCTCACGCCTGAGGAGGCCAAAGCCTTGGCAGCAGAGCTCCTCGCCAAGGCCAGGTGAGGGAATGGGTTGGAGGTGTGTCGCCGGTGTGGCTCAGCTGGATTTAAAGGGGAAACCATCGTGTGGCTCGAGGGAACAATGTCTAAATACCATGGCGCACTTGCACTCCTCATGCAATAGGAGAAAGCGCGAACTCGAGGAGAAGGAGCTCCAGCGACTCAGGGAGCAAGAACGGATTAGGTAATGTGGAGGCTGGGCTCAGTGAAGAGCCAGATTCTCTCTGCACCAACACGTTGACTGCAGCCACGGTCCTAGCACCCACACATCAACGCACACACACAGGTCGGGGAAGGAGCTCGCTGCTGCAGCGCGTCTGGAGGCCGAGCTGAAGCTGAAACGGTCTATGGAGGCACGGCGGCTGGAGAAGGAGGAGGAGCGCAAGGCGCGGGAGAGGGTCCGCGAGATGCTGGGTGGGTGGTGGGAAGGGTTGTGCAGGACAGGCACGCAGAGAGGCTCCTTGTGTCGGGGATTTTGGTTTGAAAGATCTTGCAGAGGGGCGCGGGCGCCCACCCCTCTCCTGCTCCCATGCACTGCAAAGGTGTGTACACATCACAGTTCCTCTGCATCACTCAATTCCAGTCTCTGTCAGGCCATCCCACCCCTTCCCCTGGAGCAGAGGAGGACAAGCGCGCGCGCCGTGTCCGCCTGGGCCTCCCCCCCGAGCCCACTCCCGAGGAGCTGGAGGCGGAGCGGGCCAAGGCGGCGGAGAAGGCGGCGCAGGAGGCCGCCAAGCGGCTGCCGCCTCCGCCTGTCATCCCCGATGCGGACCGCCTGCGGGACCTGCTGGTGGGCATGAAGCGGGGCACGTCCGACGCGGCGGCGGTCACGCTGTGCTTCCAGACCCTGCTGCGCCTGTGCGGCAACGCGGCCAACGACCCCGGCAACGCCAAGTACCGGCGCCTGAACCTGGGCAACCCGGCGCTGGCGGCGCGCCTGCTCCCAGACGCGCGCGCCTTCCTGGAGGCCGCGGGGTGGGCGGCCGCGGAAGGGGAGGGCGAGGGCGTGCTGGTGCTGCCGGGCGCCGGCTCGCCTGCCGAGGTCGTGCGGCTGACCGCGGCGGGGGAGCAGTTGCACTCCGCCCTGAACAACCCCTTCTTCGGGGCGCTGTGAAAAACCCGGTCACACGCGACGCGGTGTCACAGGCCGGGGGCGCTTGCGCCCGGCACACAAGGGGGGCATCAGGTGGGCAAGAAGCAGGGGCAGGAGGACAGCACCGACGATGAAATGAGGTGGGCCCGCGACACCGCCCGCGGCCCAGGCCTCGGGCGTCGAAGACTTGGGCATGGTGGAGCCCGCCCTGACGCACCGCGCGTCACCAGAACCGGGATGCCCTGATCCAGCGCGTCACGATGAACTTCTGTCCCGCGCGGACGGGGCAGCCGCCGTGCAGCGCGTGAGGGTCGGGCACCGCCAGGCCTGGGTCGGTCGGTGGGCACGTAGTCCCTGTGGGTTGTTGGTGTGGGGAGGCAAGAGGGGGGCAGTGAGTAGCCCGGGTGATACATGCCCGCCCCGAGTCACCACACCGCCTCCCGGACGCCGCAGCTCAGCCGACGCGTCACTGCACCGATCCCTGGCCACCCCATCCCCGCCTCACCAGAAGAGCACGGCGTCGCCGGCGGCCGGCGAGAGGCGCAGCGTGTCGCTGCGGAAGCAGGGGTCGTCGGCCTCGGCGTCCACGCTCTCCAAGGCCCGCGCCTCGCCGGCGGCGGCGGGCGGGGTCCGCGCCTTGGGGAACACTGTCTCGCCGCCCTCGTCGGGGGCATGCACATACATGATGAAGGTGGCCAGCCGGTCGCCGCCCGACACGCCGCCCGCGCCGGGGCCGTACGCAGGCCCCCCCGCGCGCTTCAGGAATGACCTGCAGGAATCCGTGTGAAGGGGTCCGTGTGGGGAGACTCCTGGAGTGTTTGGCGGCGTGCAATGACGCCCTGCACGGCATCTCAGGGCCGTCATGGTAGGCTGCGAGAGGGAGATCCTGAGCAGGGGAGTGCAATCCCCCAGACTCACTGGCAGGCGGGGGGGAGCTCCTCCCCGCTGGGACGGTGCCGGCAGTTGTCGGTGTGGGCGTCGTATTTTTGGCCCTACATGGGACCATGGAAAGACAAGGCGGGCGGGCATTGGGGCGGGCGGTGCTCGTTTTCAGTCACAGGGCTGGACTGGGGACTCTACCTTGATGACCTGGGCATGGCCTTTCCGCCCCATGCTCAAGCCCTCCCAACATCTCCACACCCTCTGCCCCTCCATCCTCACGCCCACCTGCTCGTATCGCAGCATGTAGAGCGACTCCCCAAACTCCTCAGGGATGCCGATCCAGGAGTGCAGCCGGTGCTGCAGGTCCAGCACGGTCTTGTCCCGGCGCGCGCCGCTGAGCCACACGCCATAGCTGGTCCGCCGGTCGTTCACGCTCTCATCAGACACGACGCCGGAGCGCACGAAGCCATCTGTCGGGAGGGGTGACGAGGGGCGTTGCCAAGGTTGAATGGCCGAGGGGTGCAGGGGCTCGATTTGTGCCAGCCGATGGGGGCGCAAGGCGGCTCCAGGCTGGCACGTACTGCCCTCTCATTCACGCTGCCAGGTTCCTTCCCCAGGCCCCATACTCTTCTGGTCCCCAGAGAGGATGACTGGTTGTGAGCCAGCACGCTGTCCCAAACAACCCAGCACAAAATACCACCTTCCCATACCGGCTCACCCCCTGACAGCTCCAACAGGTGGTCGATCTCGGCCTGGCTCAGAAAGCCCTTGTACTGGACGATGTACGGCTTCTCCTTGCTCACCACCACCGCGTTGGGGTGGCTCGCCGCCCTGTGGAAGATCTCTGGGGTCAGCATCCAGCCGCCCGCCAGGGTCGCCTGGTCCAGCGAGGGGCCCTGCCCGGAGATGACCTCGTCAGGTGGGGAGACCACCACTGGCTTGGCCTTCTTTGGGGGGGGGGAGGGGCAGGGTGGTGCTCTGCAGCGCTTCCTGGGGATCCTTGACAGAGGACACGATCTTGGGATGACCGTCAGTGGGATGGCCGGTGGGGGCACCGCCGTCGATCGCCCCCAAGGCCGCCACGCCATCTGCCGAGCCCGTGAGGTGCTCGCCCACCAGGTGTTGTAGTGGGTGGCTTGCAAGAGGAACATGCAGGTCTGCATTGAGGGTGGTGTGGAGGAGGTGCGGCATGAGTTTGGGTGGTGGTGCATCTTCATTCCCCAGTAAGAATGCAGGCTGGAGATTGGGCCTTCGTGGATGGTCATGCAGACTGCCCGTCAGTCAATGAGAGATTCAAAGCAGGGCGTGATGGATGCAATAATCCACTGAATTGCCATACAGAGTCTGCTTGTGTAGAATCCAAGCCACAAAAGCTGGTTCGCCCTGGTACCCCATGTCGGTCCCCCACCTTGACGCTGGTTCAGCACGCGTCTCTGTCCGTCAGATTGTTGCACGAAGAAGTTGGTGTCCGGTACAGGCCCAACATTCAAAAGGCTGGCCAGGAGGAACATGCAGCCGACAATCGCGCCAGTCATGAGCAGGATGGGGAGCATGGGCACCTTCCCCTGCCGGCCTCGGGCCCTGCTGGGCCGCTGCACCTGCAGGGACCCCAGCAGGCTCTCCATGGGCTCGAAGGTGCTTGTCATGGGTGGTATGTTTTATTCCACATCACAGATCATCTGTCGAGGCGTGGCCGAGACTGCTGGAGGCATGGATCCTGGCAGTTGGGGAGCCCGGCACGAGAGTCAGGAAAGGGAGCGCGTCGCCGTGTACTTTTCTCTAAGAGCAATGTCGGAGCTCCCTGCCTCGACAAATGTGCCCCTGCTCGCTGGGTCCAGTATCAAGATTTCATTTAATTATTTCAGAGCCGAGGTGTGAGCTGTGCCACTGAGTCTGGCCTGGTGCTTTCACTGAAGTGTACGCCTCGCGCGCATACACCAGTATGGCGTTCCGGGGTGTCCACACCTCCAGCCTGCCGGCCGTGTACTCCGATTCCATGGGCGCGACCTACTCCAAGACCTTCAAGCCATCTCGTGACTCGTCATCGGGCGTCTCATGGCGCGTGCTCACACTCCTGCTCCTGGGCGTAGGGGCCACGGTGTACACCCTGCGCTCCTCCAGCAGCAGCGAGGCCGCTCGCGTGGCGCGGCAGGCGGCCTACGACAAGCTCTACCCCGGCTCCACCCGGTACGGCGCCAGGGGATCCATGGAGGAGCCGGGCACCGCCCACGCCCCCGTGCGCAAGTGGTCCCAGAGGGGTGTGCGGAGGGTGCTGGAGTCGGAGGGTGCCGTCCAGGCGGAGGCCGCCGCGGCCACCGTCCGGCCCCCCGCCTCCGGCTTCGACCCGGAGCGGCACCAGCAGTACCTGGACCTACCCCCCCTGCCCGCCTTCCCGCCCTCCGAGTACATGGGCGGCTGGGCGCTGACCCAGGATGTCTACGACTGCGCGGCGCGCCACCCCGCCGCCACGGTGCTCAGCTTCGACAGCCCGCGCCTAGTCCTCTTTAAGTCCTTCCTGTCCCCCGGCGAGGTGGACCACTTGGTGGACATCAGCAAGGACCACATGGCCCGCAGCGAGGTGCTACACGCCGACGGCGACGGCTCCGTCAGCGACATCCGCACCTCATACGGCCACTGGCCCACCCCCACGCCCACGACGCACAACATCACGGACCGGATCCACCGCCTGGTGGGCATCCCGGAGAAGTTTGGCGAGGACCTGTACGTCCTGCGCTACCTCCTGGGCCAGCAGTATGAGGCGTGAGTGTACTGCGGTGCGGTTGTTCGGAGGGGGGGGAGGGATGCCTGTCTCGGCCCCAGTGTGGGCTCGTGGGCTGTTCAAGGGGAGGGACAGGAGGACAGGTTTCGCCCACATGCTCTCAGCTGGCGATAGCCATAGCGCCAGTCGCATCTTCTGGAGTAGCACACCTGCTGGCATGGGGGCAGCGGTTGACTGGTCAAATCCATGCACTCCATGACCTTGACCCAAGTCCAAACCATCCACGCCTCCCTCCCTGCAGGCACAACGACCACTGCATGGACAACCTGTCACGCTCCAGGAAGGCAGACCCCGCCTGCCGCGATTTTCTAAAGAGGGCGCGGGGTCCCGAGTGCGGGCCCGGCCACGGCGGCGAGACCTGCGGGGACCGGATGGCGACCTTCATCCTCGTCCTCAAGTGAGTGTGCGTGTTTTGTGGAGCCGTGATGAGGATGTGGGGCTGGGTTTACGCACACGTTTGAGTTTTTCTCTTAGAACATGAGGCCTGGATGAGGGGCCGCAGTCTCTCTAGGGTTCCCTGCATTCCGACGTCACCCGACACGACTGTCCAGCTCAGGACAGGTGATCCGCCCCTTCCTCAATACACAGGCATCCGTCCAAGGGCGGCCACACAGTGTTTCCAGAGGCCACCATCACCCAGGCATCTGTCAAGAACCATGGCCATGCAGCAGACGACTCCTGGTACTGCAAGGACTCTGGGGTCCTGGGTGCCGCCCCCGAGGCAGGGGACGCCCTGCTCTTCTGGTGAGACACTCTGGCAGGGCTTGGGATGAGACTCTGGGAAATGGAATGTAGACCATGTCGTGGTTTCATGCACTGTAGAAGAGGATATCGATTGTTATTCTTCATTGATACCTCTGAAATTGGCTGCATGATGTCCGGAGCGATGCCCCTGAGTCCAGTGTGCGCGTCGCTTAGTGCCTCCCGCCCCCCCCCCCCGTGGGTAGGGAACACCCAACTCCCCACTCACGACCTCTCGGCAGGGACTACCGGCCGGGCGGCGGCTCTGGGCAGGGGTCGTACGAGGACGGCACTGCAGACCCATCCGCCACGCCCGTGTATGAGGCGCTGCACAGCGGCTGCCCGGTGCTGGAGGGGGAGAAGTGGATCGTGACACGGTGGATACGTGGCGCAGGCTTCGACTACGTCCCGCCCAACACGGCTTGAGCATGGGTCCAAGGAACGACTCCTCCAGCAGGCGGGAGCCATGAGCCAGGCTGCCGCCGCCGGTGGGTGGCCTCCCCGACAAGACCCCTGGCCCCAAGCGCACTGGCTCAAGGTCTGACCCAGCTCACAAGACGCATTCATTTGATTTTCCGCTGTACCCATGCGGTGCAGGCTTCTGCCAAAGCACTGCCACCTGACAGTATCGTCTCGCCCTTCTCCGTTCTCGTTACGAGCTCGTGATTCCTGCCGGCAGCCGATGCCCTTGCTGGCCTGCAGCCAAGGACAATGTAAGAACTGACCCTGCACACCAGATGCGACCTGAATTACAAGGCTTCTGCAGGTAGGGGGGGGCACTGTATTCTTCTCATCCAAGGACCGGGGCAGGGGATCTGTGGATTCACAGCTCTTCGTTTAGAAGGGCACCGGGGGTCCAGCTGCGCTGTTCAGAGAAGTCGTGGCCTGCGCAGCGGCGGGGTAAATGCATGTGAGAGACGGTGCACGCCATGTCAGCGGTGAGTTGGAAGCACGCCTTGCAACGCAGCTGTATGACCACACCAGACGCACCAGAAGGTAGAAAGCTGCTGCATGGCCGAGGGCGCCCCAGGCCAGCACCTGAGATGAGATTTTTTGGGGGGAGGCAGACTCAGGAGCTGAAGGGAAGACGTACATCGGCAGGAATGGCCACCAAGCTCTGCATCTCAAAGACATCCGCAAGCACTGGGTCCCCAGCTGCTCCCCGCCAGGAGCAGCCCCAGACCACACGCGCTCTCGAGCACACCCTACAGCACTCACATCGATGATGTTGAAGCCAGCGGGATCGTTCGTCTTCAGCAGGAAGGTCGCCTCCTCCGCACCTCTGTCGCCAGCCTCGGCATGGGTGATGCCGTTCTGACGGGGCAGACCCTGCCGTGCCAGGTTGTCGCGGTGGAAGGGAAGGAATACAAACCTGTGGGATTCGCGTGAATCGTGGTCCGCATGAGGAAGGAGGGGTATGCAGCCTGAGCTTGACACGAAATCCAAAAGGCCACCACATCTTGCTGACAGCAAACCACAATGCAAATTCTAGCACAGACACACTGCCGCAGTGCTACCTTCCGAGGGCAAGGGCAGCAAAGGTGGCGCCTGTGGGTATCGTGATGATGGGGGAGGCTGGTTGGTCGCCTCATGACAACGAGGGGTCCCCATGTGGGACAAGCATGTACCCTCCAGCCAGCGCATCGATCGAGCCCAAAGTCCCCCGCACGATCCTGCAGGGCCATGCTGATCCCATCAACCTTCCCACATACCCCCGACGACCAGGTTGACCTCCGCTATGGCACGAGTGGGCGTCTTGATGGCCTGGCGAGCCCTGCAGGCCGTGCGCGGCACGAAGGGACGGGTAGTCCCCCGGAAAGTGCAGGTCGCGGAAGGGGTCAGGCCGAGCATCGTCATGATGTCCACTATCGCCTGCTGGAAGGGTTGAATGTGCTGGGAAGGATTCGCAGGTGGGGACATGAGACCCTCGATCGCGACCTGCTCGGCACAGGCCAAGCGGATCGGAACTCAATCTTGAACGTTGGAAAGCACGGCATGGCATGCTGTCGGCAGACATGGTCACGTTCAGATGTATGGAAAGGGTCATTTTCTTCAGCCCTCAAGCGAGTAGAGCATTGTTTACATAGAGAGCGGTCTTGAAAGCAACGATAAGCTCAGCAGGGCAAGTGCTGAGAGGGATTTGGGTATGAGCACACGGGAATGTCTCTGCCCAGGTATACAACAAGATGAAGGGATGCTTGTGAAGTGTGGCGTCTTCACAAGGGCTGAGTGAGTGAGAGGCATGCCGCGTGGCAGGCAGAAAATAGTGGTGATACAAAGATTCAACTCCTGATCTGGGGTCATTTGCGATTATTCTGCACAGAATGGCGTGTCAAGTCAACTGGGCTGCATGGATCTCCTGCTGAATGCTGCCAGCTCCGCCTCCCAGCCGGACGCAGAGCGGCTGGCGTCCTGTACGAGCTCTGCCACACCCTCCTCGCCGCTGTCGGGGTACAGGGCGGCAGCCATCATGTCACTGCACAGCACCATCAGCTGCTCATCCACAGCCCAGCGTGTCGAGTCGGAGAGCATGGAGGCATGCGCCAAGGCCTCCACATCCTCTGGCGAGAAGGCCTGGACCAGCGCAACGCACAGCAGGCGCACCTTGCAGTTTGGAGAGGTTGAAAGGGGAATGGGGTTTGAGGGCTGTGCATTGTCTCGCGCCGATGACATGCGGAGGACATACGGCATGCAGCGCCTGCAGCAGCAGGTCCAACCTCTTCCCCAATTTTGCTCTGCTCATGCCCATGGCCTCCCTACTCCCTCGTCCCCCTCACCACCCCAGGACACACCCACCACGTAGGTGGCGTTGAAGAGCATGGCCAGGAAGGTCACCCCCAGGATGGCGTCGGTGCTCGACTCCTCGGCGGCGCCCCCCTGCGCCAGCACCGTCAGGAAGAGGTGGCGCACCAGGTCCTCCAGGTTGACCACCATGTCCACGGCGCGCTCCACGGCCACCGTGCATTTGAGCACCCCCGCCAGGGCCAGGAGGCAGGCCTGCAGCTGCTGGCCCACGTCCTCCAGCTCCCCCGCCACCGGGATCAAGGGGGGGCAGCTGTAGGTGTCGTGCGCATCCAGGGCCGCAGAGAAGGACCCCGCCACATTGAGCAGGTGGCGGCACAGCCGCTGCGCGCGCTTGGCCGCCACAAAGGGAAACCTTTTGGGGGTGGGAGGGTGAGGGTTTGGGTTGGGGGGATTGGGAAGGAGGGAATCGGGGGAATAGGAATGCATTATGCACGCACGCCCAGCTCATGTGCTGAGGGGACCCTCGGCCCAGCACCACACAAGCAGGCACCGCCCCTGGGTGGTGCATCAGTGTTTTATCAGTGCAGTGCCGGCGCCTGACACTCCACCCGGCCTCCCTCCCTCCCTCTCTTCCCCCCCACCCCCCCCTCGCCAACCTCCTCACCGCTTGACCTTGCTGAAGGGGTAGTATTCGTAGTGCAGGGCCGGCTCCAGTGCCCCCATGGCCCCGATCAGCATGGCGATGGCCTTGAGCTGGGGCAGGACGGCGAGGTAGGCGGCGCCCACCACCTTGCGCACCCCCGCCTCCCCCACCTGCAGGTAGATGGACTCCAGGCCCGGGCCCTGCGCCATCAGCACCCCGCGCGCGTGCGCGGGGGGTGGGCTGTAGGTGATCAACAGGCTGGGGCGGCCGCCGCGCTCCGAGCCCACACCGGGGGCCGTGTCGAATCGCGTGCACGGTCGTGCATGTTGCGGCGATGGGCCCTCTGGCGGCGAGGGAGACGGCTCTGGGGCTGGGGAGTCGGTGGCGCTGAGATCTGCCGTCGCACCAGGCCCGGCCCAGGGTACCGACCCCGCGACTCGATCCGCCAGCTCTGCTGCGCCGGGCTGGGCGCTCGCCTGGTCGCCGGACGGCTCGTCCGGTGCCTTCTCGGCCGACCCTTCCCGCGCCTCCGCGCCAGGCTCCACGTCCACCACCTGGCCCTCTCCGCCCTCCCGCCCACCCGCCACGAGGGCCTCGGCGGCACGAAGGAGGCGGGAGGCCGCCCGCACGCCGCCGGACCGCGCCCTGCCCAGGCTGTCCGTCGCGCGGCGCACCGCCCCGCGCCCGGCCTTGCGCCGGTGTTCGCGTGGGACCAGACAGTGGCAGGCGCGGTCCATGACGTCGGCCAGACCCTCCAGCGCGGACAGCATCAGGGTCTGGTGCACCGAGCGCGCGGAGATGGGGAAGCAGACGGCCACGAGGATCACGTTGACCACCACGCCCACCGCCGTGGAGGCCAAGCGCCAGATGGCGGCCTGCGGGTAGGTCTCGTCCACGTGGTAGTTGGGTAGCGCAACAAGGGCGGTGATGATGGCGGCAATCAGGAAGCAGTCTGGGCGTACAAAGGTGGTGGGTAGGTGTGTGTGTGTAGGGGTGTGTGTGTGTGTGTGTATATTATTTTTTTTTGTGTGTGTGTGTGTGTGTGTTGTTGTCCGTGGTGGGGACGGCCTCCATCTGTAAAGGCGACAGAAGGGGCTACAAGGCTGCACCTGGCACCTGGCACCCAGGACTCAACCCCCACACTCGAAGAGGATTTGCCGCCGCTGCTCTCAGCAGTTGCTTTGTCATCAAGCCACCCATGCACCCTCCCCACGTCACACACAACGACCCACAGAAGTAGGAGGAGAAGCGGATGGCGCAGCCCCCAAGCACGCCAGTCACCAGCGGGAGACTGATGGTCATCACGATGTACTGCATGGATGGGTAGGGGCGGGGAAGCTGGAGAGGGGTCGACGCAGGCTTTGAGAGAATGACGGCAGGAGGGCCAGTGCACTGAAAGGTGATGTGTGCGGTGAGGAAGAAGCGGAAGTTGGTTGGCGGGAGAAATGGGAGCCCAGGGGCATTGTGTGAGCTCAGTGGATCTCCCCACCAGGCGCTTTGAGAACAGGCCCCCCCTCAATCGACGGCTGTCTCAACCTCCCCCCCTTCCTGCCCCCCCCCCCCCCCCCACGTGGCGCACCTTTTGCGGGTGGGAGACGTAGGTCAGCCCGTTGCAGAGGTAGGTGAAGTAGAGCACGCCCAGACCCAGCACGGCGCCCAGCACCGTGCCCAGAAGCCGCTGGAAGCCCTTGATGATGACCGACCCTGTGATTTGATGTGGGGTGGATCAGTGCATGGCTGGGTCTAGCTGGGGGTGTGGAGGCACACGGCACAGGCGTGTGACCAAGCATTTGTCCGTCCATTGTGTGGGGCAGAGTGCCTGCGTCGGTCCACAGGCCTTCCAGCCCCAACAACAGCCATCGACCGCCGTCCCCACCAGTCATGGGCTCCAGGATGGTGATGACGATGAGCATGCCCCACAGCATGCGTCCCTCAAACGCATCGTTCACCGCCGGCACCATGACCATGACGAGGATGATGCAGTACCCCAGCATGCCCTGCGTGGGCGGGAGGCCGGCGGTGGTTGAGCCGAGGGAGGGTGTGGCGCCCCGACCTGGGCCCGGGCGACCTCACCAGGACCGGAGTCCCGGCGAGGCCCGCCGGCTTGTCAAATGCAAAACCAAATCCTTCCCCAAACCCGAGTACAGACCCGCAAACACATCCCAGGTCCCTGCTCGATGCATCCACTCGCCTTCCGCCTCCCATGCTCCTCCAAAATCCCTCCCACCCGACCCCACTCCACCCACTTGCAGGCCAACGATGAGGTGGTTCGGAGTGATCCCGGTCCGCCCGCGCAGCCAGTCCAGGGCCCGCTGCGTCGCGCGCGGCGTGCTTTCCCGCACGGGCAGCACCTTGGGCGCTGGCGTGCCCTGCGCGGCCAGGTACTGCTTGAGGGAGGGGCCCGGGGGGCCCCGGGGCCCCTCGTCCCCGGCGCGCAGCGAGTCGTGCAGGAGCGCGAGCGGGGGCCGCGGGGCTGGCTGCGCGCGCCGCACGCGCTGCATGAGGGTGGGGAAGTGCCAGGTGCGGCTACCGCCGCGGTCCACCGCCAGCAGGTGGGCGGCAAGGGCGGTGGTGGCGGCGGGGTCGTCCCGCCCCAGCGCCTCTGGCGCGGTCGTGAACAGCTGCCGGATCTGCGGGCAGGAGGTGGAAAGGGAGGGGGAGGTTTGTCTGGTCATAAGGGCAGCCAAGGGACCAGGGCAGCGCTGACATGGCAGGGCCTGCCCCCCCCCCTCCCCCCCCCCCCCCGCCCCCCCGCTGCCCCCTCACCAAAAACCCACCTCCACAGCCGCGATCCCCGACTCCAGGTCTGAGGCTGCGCCGGGGCTCAACGACCCGGCCGCCTGGGTCCAGGCGGCCAGCACCACGGCGCGCAGCGCGACCACCGCGGCGCCAGGCACGCCCTCCAGCACGTACGCCGCGAGGGGCGGATCGAGGTAGCGTTCGCAGACCTCCGCAAAGGTGCGCAGGGTCCTGCGGGCGTGGGGGGTGGGAGGGGACAGGTCGGCAGGGGGGGGCGCCTTGTCAGAGGTATGGCTGGACTGGGAGGTAGGCAGGGGCGGGAAGGGGCGCCAGGCACCCCCTGGGCCTCACCGGTGCCGTGGGGCAATCCCCGAGCACCATCCAGTCCGCCCTGCACGTTTCCATACCTCCCACCCTCACGTCGCAAAACTACACCCACCCGCTCAGCGCGGCGGCCTGGTGCTCGAGCTCCGCCGGCCCACCTCCCTGCTGCAGCGTGCGCAGCGTGCTCAGCATGGCTTCCAGGCGCAGGGTGCGCAGGCCCCGCCCGATGACCGCGCAGAACCTGCGTGGCAAGGGCGGAGGTGGTGCTGCACGTGAAACCCAGGCAAGCAACACCACTGGGGAGGACAGGGCGCTGGGTGTGCGGCCGGGGCGCAGGACGACGATCCTCCCCTCTGCCCTCTCGCCCCGTCTCTGCCCTCTCCCCCCGTCTCTGCCCTCTCACCCCGTCTCTGCCC